CCAAAGGAGTACTGCTAGTGAAGTTCATGGAGCATGGTTCAACCATCACTTCAGAAGTCTACTGTGAAACGTTACGAAAACTCAGATGAGCCATCCATAACAAATGTTGGGGCATGCTGACTTCTGGTGTGGTGTTGGTTCTTGATAATGCTCGCCCACAAACCGCTAGACTCACCCAAGAACTTTTGAAGCAGTTCTGTTGGGATATTTTTGATCATCCCCCCCCCCCCTAGCCCAGGTTTGGCGCCAAGTGATTACTACTAAGGAAATTTTAAATCTTGTAAGATGTTATGACAAGTGCCTCAATTTGAATGGCGATTATGTCAAAAAGTAATGTAATGTTGTAGTTTTCTAATATGTATAATAAAAGCTCTGTATCTGTGAGTGTCTGTCATTGATAACCAAATGGAGGTTTATTTCCGAATTTCCCTGGTACATATACACCGATGATACTAATTGTGGTGTCATGACACATACCCCAGAGAAAATCAAATATTAAATAAGATTTTTTTTTCTTTGTGTCAATAGGTATTTATATGTCTTCTGGAGCATTGCCACCATTTCCTGTTCCCCCAAAAGGTGAGTTACTATGATTATTTTGATTTCTCCATTCTTGGAGAGTATGCTAATTAGTTCAACTTTGTTTCCTCTTCCTCCTGATTAACAGATCAATTTTAGTCCCTTCTCCATCCAAACTATCATGATTTGGGCAGCTGGTTGCAGGAAAATGCAGTCCCTTCAAATTTTCATGGCACCAATATCATGTGGCTTCAGCAACTCATTTCGTCATTCCACTAGCAGCTTTGACGGATCACACATTTTCCAATGTTCAAATTGCCACATCTCCCCACTGTCAGTTGTTTGTGAGCAATTTTTATGGACAGGTTTGGAGCTCTTTTGAAAGATTGTTAAAAGATTTGCTTGATTTGCTTCCTTGCTCAGTGCTGATATCTAAGACTGCCAAGACTGGGCAAGCAGGTAAGAGATGATTCTGAGATTCAATTCAGCAGGTCTTTTCAATTAAATAAAAATAGATTGCAAATTTCAATAGAACTTGCATATTAAAATAACAAGAAACTGAATTAAAGGTGATTCAGCTTTTCTAATACATTTACCAACAATGAAGTCATACTGGGTTGGCTGTGAATTGCTTTGTATTGTACTTAGAAAGATTAAGAGTTAATCAACTTTTTTTCTCTTTAGATTCACCCAGTCATTTGGATTATGATGATGATGATGATTATGATGATGGTAGTGCTGTAACAGTATCTTTACCTGTAAAAGAAATGGAAAAGAAAGAAGGTATTGGCTCTTTTAGTGCAGCCATAGTAATATTTGCTAAAGAAAGGAGGGTTTTATTTAATTAGCTTTAGAGGTGAAATATTTTAGAGACTGTAGAGTTTCCAGAATGATTTAGACTTCATACCTAAATAGCTACTGATAACAATCCATTTTAAGGCTGCACAACACTTCTGATTTGAAGAGAAAGGTAATTTGGAGGGGTACTGAGGCTTGTCAAAATTTTCATAATTATTAAAAATCCCAAGAATCTCTTCCTCTTTCAATTAGCACTTGTATAAAAGTCAGATAAATACTACTGTGGCTTCTATAGCTTTGTACTGCTCTACCTGAGTCTAAAACTTCATGCCTTTCCGGAAAAATTTATAAGTTTCTTTCATAGTGTGTCTAGGGTCAAAATAGGTTTACTTAATTTTTAAATCACAAGCTTGTAAAAAGAAGGAATGTTTGCAGCTGGGTTAATTACAGTACTGCAATATTTTTTCCTAAAAGAAACTTATTCCTCAAAGCTCCTATTTGCCCTTTAAAAAAAAAAAAAAGGGGGGGGAGGGAAGTCATTGCTGACAACATTCTTTAGAACTCTGTAGTGGTTTGTTTATAAGTTTGTCTGCCTTATTTATTTGTTATAGTGTTATCTATCTTCCAATTTTTGCCTAAGAGCTTAAAGTAGTGCATTGTGGAAACTGACCTCATTTTTTTTCTCATATTGGCAGGACTGCAGTTGGTTTAGATGAAAGACAGTGAATTGCATTGTCAAACAGAAGCTATAGAAAGAAACACAGGATTGAAATAGGTTTTTAAAGTAATGCCTACTTTGGCTTTATCCCTTTATGTCAGTTTTAAATGTAAAATATATTTTTAAAATATTTTGCTTCTATCTATGAAACTCAACCTTTTATTTAGTTCAAGAAACATGTCCCATTTTAGGTTAGGAGCACAAGCATATCTACATAAATTTGCATCTTTGTACTCCACAAAATTAATCGCTACAAACTGAACCTTGTCATTAATCTTCTCTTCCACAGCTCCTTCCACCTGTAAACCAGCAAAAGAGAATGACTCTAGAAAACTTCATATACTCATTCTTTATGCCCTAGTAACCATAAGCTTTGCAATGTGGATTACTCACTTGTTCTTGGTCCTGGAGAAATGTAAGTGATTCCCGGTATCAATAGTATTGTCAGGAAATCCAATGATGAGAGCTGAGAACTTGTAACAGTGAAGAATTCCTTCAACAGTGAGCTACCATAAATGTACATTTTAGCTTCTCCATGGGCTGGTCTTTGGATCTCCTCAACAGGAAGAGATATAAGGCAGCCAGATGGTCTTTTAACCAGATTTGTTCCTTAAAACTGTTGTTAGTGACTGATTCTTGACTTCAACCTGCTCATTCCCCAGCTTTAACTCTCTCAATTTGTTTTTAAAATACTTGATTAAAAATGTAGATTTCCAAAATAGTTCATTGGTTTCCAACTGGAGAAAAAAAAATACTTTCTACTGGCAAAAATGCTCTCTTCCCAGTCAGTAAGAAATACTCCATCCATTCCAGTCATTTAATATCTGCATTTTCTCCCCAGAATTCTCAGTCAGCTCACCATTTGGGGAGTTGCAGATCCATCATTATCTTTACGTTGTCTATCCATTTTTTTTCTTGGTTAGTTATAGGAGTGGTTTACTACTGACATCTCTGCACAGTGTAAATTATATTTTAGTCATTACTAAAGTGATAATCTTTCTCCAACAATTTCCAATATTGTTCCTACCCATGATGGCCTGCTTGTTTTAACTGGATATCTGGATGTTTTACTGGATACCATGGGTGACTTTGCAGGGTCTTCACATATACTTACATGCTATGTATGTTTGTATAGTACTCAGTATGTGTATATAATACACTCTCAAAAGGAGCTGTGATTTTTCATAGGATTGTGTGGCTTAGCTTAACATCTACAATGATAATTTTAATTCTGTAAAATTTCCAAACAAAGATTATTTTGGATTGCAGTAAAAAGCAAAAATTCCACATTTTGTCTCCTTTTCTTCTTCAGACTCAGAAATTTCACAGAAGATAGAGAACTTAAACCTAAACTACTCAGAGAAGTTTGCAAAAAGTAAGCACTACGCTTTTAAATATTTATATGTATTTAATTATCTTGTGAATTGGACACAAAACAAACTAGATGGCACTTTTAATATGAAGTTGCTAATGGGTCTCACCTGCTGCAGACCCCCCAACTGCTAAGGGCCATAATCACTCTCGGTCTATAAGTATATTCACCTTCTTTTCTGCTATGATTCTGCCTCTAGTTGCTGTTTGTGTGCACAGTCACGCATTAATCACTGCTTTACCTTCATCTTCTAGTACTAGAAGTTTTTTTAAAGAAGGAACTATCTTAATCTAAAGTATCTTGGATCTTATCTATTTTACAGTATAATCCTTCCTTTGTTTAATCTTTAAATTAGTTACTATGTGTCCCGTGATGTTCTTTAACATACCAATTTGAGATCATAACCTCCTTCTGAATGTGTAGATTTTTTTGGAAGAGTTTGCTTGTTTCCCCATGTCTTTCTATCTTTGATGATTTTATATATGTGACTCCTGAGAACTTTGCAGTTCTTGGCTTTGTCTTCTCTTTTCTTCTTGGCGAATTTTATTGTTTGTTCTGACATTCAATTTACTTTGTTTTGTGACCTTTGGAAGTCTCTTTCCATGTGCATCCTTAACAACATCTTTGACTTCATTCCATACTTATTCTGCTTTCATATTAATTAGGTTCAGGACTTCAAAGTGATTCCTGATGATCTCCTAGATAGGATATGATGGCAATATGTTCAAGATCATATAGGGGAAACTGATTGGCTTTGTTCCTTTGCTTTACTTTGAATTGGAACTTGCTCAAGAGCAGTTCATGATCTGTTCCCAGGAGTGCCTTAGCCACATATTTGTTATTATAATTAAGTTCTTCTACTTTCTTTTATTAATAATATAGTCAGTTTGATTTCTGAGTTTTCCATCTGGTGATATCCATGCATATAGGCATAGGACACCAAGGATCAAATTAGATAGCAATTTTAGGGTGAAGTTGCTAATAGACCCCAATTGCTAAAGACCACATATATTCTGTCCTTGAAGCCTGGTCTTCATAGCTTCAGTGGCCGCTCTCTTCACTGGCTGCTGTTGAATGTCAGGTAGGTCTGTAATAAAGCTACCCTTATCCATGATACAATATAATCATGGGTGACAGTGTCAACTTGGCATATATCACTGAGATCTGGCTTGATGGAGACGGGAGCTCCCCTTTCAGAAATGTGGCCACTTTTCAGCCATTACATCAGCCAAGACTCTGGGGTAGAAATAGGGCTATGGCCATTGCCATCCAGGAGACTGTGGAGGCTTCCAGGACTCTGTTTCACAGATATGTGGATTTGGAACTCTGTTTGGGAAGTTGGGCCATAGGAATCAGATGGAATGACTACTTGTGTATCCAACTCTCTGCTATGGAGCAACCTCCCTTCTAGAGGTGCTTGATTCTGGTGGCAGAGCTTCCCAGGCTTATGATAGGGGATTTCAATCTGCTTTTGCTTGGCCCAAAGTTGGAAGCAGCTCAGGAATTCCTGACCACCATGGAACTGAGCTGGGCAATAGAAGATCTATTTTCATGACATCTCTGTTAGCACTTTGATTTGTCTTTTAGTGATGAAAGACCTGGATTATGTTAAAACAACACAATCAATGGCTGAAAAATACACAAGCAACAGGTTCACTGAAACTGAGGACATTTTAGGTAAGACACCTCTAAAAAAGTTCTAGACCTGGATTCTTCTAAATGAGAAGTGGATCATCCTGGTTGGAAAATGTGAATATTAGAAATGGGCAGGAAGGCAAGGAAAATGCACATAACAAACATATTTTCAGCCACAAAATTTCCCTTGCTGTTTAACACTGTATTGGGGAAGAACCAGATTCTGTCCATGTTGTGTTCTGAACATCTGAAATTTATCAGGTAAGCATTAATTTCAGTTTACATTTAGAGGAAATGAAAGTGCCTAGACAAGGCCTTTATGAATATGGAGAGCAGAATTGGTGAGCACAACTCTTTTCATACATTATTTGTAGGTCCTTTTTGAGGGGGGGTATTCTTTCAGGCAACATGTTGCTGTCCATGATGTATTTCAAAACTGTAAAAAGATGTGTATGTCTCAGTCTCCTTATTAGGGTACAACCAGAAAATGCAGGAAATTTGTATGAAGTATTCAAAAACAGGAAAAAACAGAAAAAAACAGCTTCCATAGATTACAGTGACAAGTATTTAGTGTGATCTTCCCTTCTACACTTGAGCAACATCAGACATCTGGCTCCCATAAACCTAAATGGAATGGAACCCTAAGTACTGTTATTACTAACACCAGTATGTGTTCTAGTATTTCATGCCAAAATGACTGCTGTGCAAAAAGTTCTATTACAACAGGTTTGTGCAACACATGCTTGAGCATTACATACAACAGACACATGTTGTATGAGTGTAATTCATTGGAAGCTTGCTAATAAGACCAACTTTCAATTACATCATTCCAGTCAAAATACCAGAGATCACAGAATCTGACAGACATACTGTAAAAGCATACTTTTTCATCAGCAAGGCCACTCTCAAAAGGAAATCAACAAACAAATTGGATATTTAAGATGTGATATTCAAGACCAAAAAAATAATCATGGATGGTTATTAAAACTTTTCTAAAACAATAAAATGGGTAGTGACCTAAGACTTTTGCACAGTACCGTTATGTGCTCTCCCTATTAAACTGTTAATTTCATACACCTATGTGATCTCAGCAATTTCTAAACACCATTGAAGACTAATAGATGCTTCTGTCATATTTGCTTGTAGAATCCATCTGCAGCCAAAGAAACATCACAATTGCTCATTCATGCCCCAATAGTTGGAAGCATCAAAAAAAATACTGTTATTACTTTTCAACTGAAAAGACAAACTGGACTAACGCCTTGCAGAATTGTATTATTTATAATGCATATCTGGTTAGCATTTCATCTGATGAAGAACAGGTAAGTCCTCCCATATAGATAATTCTAGTAAGAAATCAAGATTAAAAATATTTTAGAAGCTCCTAACACTGAACATTTCTGGCAGAGAGCTCTGATGTTGTTCCTGGGTTCTGTTGAAGCCATTCTCCAAGCATCACAGCCCCAAGGATTCCTATTATCACTGGAACCACATTGGCTTTTACTTTCCACATCTTCTCTAGTTACTCTTTCAAGCCCTGGTACTTTTCCAGCTTCTGTGACTCTGTAATGGAAGGGGTTGTAATGATGTTCCAGCTTCAGCTGTTGGCTGCATGTCCTGTTGTTCTCCTCTCATATGTTTCATATATATGCTACTATAATAGCATTCCATCATTTCCAGATTCTCTTCTCTCATTCATCTATGATTTGTTCCAGCAGCCCACTTATCATCAGACATACAGATGTAGATACTTCTGAATAGTATTATTTATTTGAAGGATATAACAGAAATATTTCAATTATTTAAAAAAATTAAAAGCAAGAATTAATTTTCTTTAAAAACCCTTGATTTTCTCTTCAGCCAGAAATGTCTCTTCAGTCTTACAGACAGTAACAAGGGCAATGAAAGTGGGAAGATATTTTTGAGTCTAAACTATGGAACCATTTCTAATTTTCATTAGGCATTATGTTGAATTATATTGAATACTCTTACAGATTACCTTAAAATGTCTCATTTGAAAACAATCCAGACACTTCAGTAAGTCTAGTTTTAGCAAGATTGTTAATTGTGACTAATATGACAGTATTGATTTTTGCCATGTGCATTGCTATCCAGTCCATTTCCTGACCTGGTTCAAGTACTGATGTTAACTGTTAAAACGTTAAATGTTCTGGGGTTGCTTGTTTGCTGCCTCCCACATATATTCAATATGAACACCTATACTTGCTATTCATTTTGAGAAGCATATGTTTATGGTCTGGGTGAGTTCTTAATAGGCTTTCACAAAGGTGGCATGCCAAAGAGTGTTTGGCACTTATTTGTAATCATTTTAATACAAAATGAAAGCTTTTTTAAAAAAAAGTTCTTCATATTGCTGTTACCAGTTTTACATTAATATTATTCTATTTCTGGCCTTATTCTGTTTCAAGTTCTCTTTTATTTTAATAATCTTAGGATTTTTGTGTTATTTGATCAATATAATAATAGAACGTAGAACATTGAATCAGAGGTCTGGAAGGGACTTCAGAGGCCTTCTAGTCCAACTCCCTGATTATACTATCACGGTCAAATGGTTGTCTAGTCTGTTTT